TGAAAGGAGGGAGTCTTAGAAAGTAAGCCTTTTAATTTGGGATACTTTCCGATTTGCAAACAAAGCTTCAAGGATGGCACAGAGAGTTTCCATGTACTCTTCACTCAGTTTCTGCTTAATGTTTACAATTTATTTAATCATGTCATCTTTATTAAAACTAAGAAATTCACATAGATATATTACTGTTAACTAAATTCCAGACTTTATTCAAACATTAAGCCTTCTTTTCTTTCATGTCCTTTCTCTGTTCCCAGATTTACCCTGACATTGCTTTTAGGCATCATGTCTTCATCATCTCCTCTGGTCTGTAATAGTGTCCCTGTCTTTCCTTGTTTTTCATGACCTTGTTGGTTATGAAGAATAATATATATATATTTTAAATAATGATTTTATATTGAAATATTGTGGTGGTTAAATTAGTGGTCAGCTTGACTGGGCTACTGTCACACTCAGATGTCTGGGTAAAAAACCCTGTGTTTGTCCATGAGGGTGTTTCCAGAAGAGAGTATTTGAATCAGTAGACTGAGTAAAGCAGTTTGTCTTTCCCAGTGTGAGGGAAACCTCTTCCCACCAGTTGAGGGTCTGAAAAGACCAAAAAGGTAGGAGAGAGAATTCTCCCTTTCTGTGACTGACTAAGCTGGGACCTCGGTTTTTTCCTCTCTGACTGGGATTTATAGCAGCAGCACTCTTGATCCTCAGGCCTTTGGACCTGGACTAGACCTGCATGTTTTGTTTGCTCATTCATCACTTGATGGAACTTTGGATTATTTCTACTTTTTGCCTGTTGTAAATAATGCTGCTGTGAACATCTGTGCACAAGTTTTTGTGTGGATGTCTGTTTTCTTTTCTCATGGTATTGTGGAATTGCTGGGTCAGATGGCAGCTCTGTGTTTTAACATTTTGAGGAACTGCCAAACTGTTTTCTCAAGTGACTGCACAGTTTTATATCCTCATTAGCAAAGTGTTAGTGTTCCAGTTTTGCCACATCCATGTCAACACTTGTTATTGTCTGTGTTTTTCATTTTAGCCCATCTTTGTGGTTTTCTATGAACTATCTCACTGTGGTTTTGATTTTGCATTTTCCTAATGGCTAAGAATGTTGAGCGTCTTCACCCCACCACAACAGCAAATTATTTCTTTGCATATTTTAAAAAGTGAAATGTAATTGACATACACCATTATGTTAGTTTCAGGTGTACTACATAGTGATTTGACATTTGCATACATTACAAGATGATCACAATAAGACTGGTAACCGTCTGTCCCCCATACCAAGTCACTACAGTGTCACTGACCATATTCCTTATGCTCAATATTGTTACACCCCATGACTTATTTATCTTCTAATTGGGTGTTCGCACCTCTTGATCCCCTTCACCTATTTGCTCCCGTGCACCGCTGCCCGCCCTCATCTCTGCCCCTTCCTCTTTGGCAGCCACGTGTTTGTTCTCTGTGAGTCTGTTTTCCTTTTATTTTTTTGTTTTTACACTCCACATGTAAGTGAGGGGTCACATGGCTATTTGTCTTTCTTTGTCTGATTTATTTCATACCCTCTAGATCTATCTATGTTTTTTCAAATGGCAAGATTTCTTTTTTTTTTTTTAATGGAAAAATACCTTTCTTTAATGAAGAAATAATGGCTTTCAGTGAACACGGCAGGTTTAAAATTCATGTTCACTGTGCCTAAGGATCACCTGGTTATGCTTGTTAACCACATAGATTCTTGGATCCCTTCCAAGATATTTGGATTCAATTATCTTCGTGTGACACTAAGAAATTTTCATTTTTCCAGGTCCTGGACCATTGTACTTCTGTGTATTAGTGAAGGAAAGACTTCAGATAGTGGGGGAAATGGATGCTAATTTAAACTTCCTTGTTTTCCACTTGTACAAATGGGTAACATCTTTTGATAAGAGGAAAAATAACCTGGGTGCATATTTTACATAAGGTTTTTGAGTCCTGTGGGATTGTGCTAACATCTTGTTAAGGAAATAGCAGATTTCAGGCTGATCAGCACCTGCCATTAAACATGGGACTGTATTGTGTTGTAATAATTACATTTTTCTCTGTCCCTGTACTCTGCAGTTTCTGAAATAGAATATTTATATATATATATTTTGAAATATATTAAAAAAAAAACTTTTGAATCATATGTGGGAAAATATGTTATCTGTAGAAATTCTGTGCTCCTGTGTGGTTTCCTGTCGAAAAGCAGTATGAATGATTATATGGGCCTTGAGTGATCTTTCTCAGTGTTACAGTCTTTCCTATGTTTTATATTGTTAATGTTTTGGTATCTTTATTCATTATGGTTTAAAGTGCTGTGAAAGAGACACAGGTTCATTGCTTGAGATTCAGGATAAAACAATTGCATTATCTATATTCAGAATTTGTTAATAGTTCCTTTAGTTGGCAGTTAGCTTAAAATTTATCATGTTTTTTCCTGTGAGCCAAGATTTGTTCAGCATAACAGAAGCCAACACTTTAAATCTCTTTTTAAACTACTTTATCAGCAACTCTTGGCGTGGTGATACATGTGTTAATTACATATTCATGTTTACTTCATAAAATAGTTCTGACTCAGTCTCTTACTTTGTTAGCTGTTAATACATGTACATGGAAATTTAAGTCATTTTTGTTTCTAATGGGGGGAAAGGTACAGTATAGCTACAGTAAAGAAAAATTAAAAGTTAAAATTGTCTGTTATCCTTTCTATTTGCATAAAATCTGTATCTCCAGTGCTCGCTTCGGCAGCACATATACTAAAATTGGAACGATACAGAGAAAATCTGTATCTCCAAAGATATTTTACATTTTAGATTGATTGGGATGTCCGTCCTTTTATTGGTTTTGTAATCATCTTGGGCCTCTAAACCCAGTATAACCAGTGTGTCCTTACCTCCTGATGTAAATATGAAAATAATGGTTTAGTGACTCAGTTTACCATCTTTTTTCATGGACTTTCCTGGAGGTCCAGTGGCTAAGAGTCTGTCTGCCAATGCAGGCAGGGGACATGGGTTTGATCCTTGGTCCAGGGAGACTCTACATGCCGCGGGGCGACTAAGCCTGTGTACCTGTGCCCTAGAGCCCGTGCGCCGCAACAAGAGAAGCCACTGCAATGAGAAGCCGACACACGGCAGCTAGAGAGTGGTCCCTGACCGCTGCAACTAGAGAAGGCCCGCATGCAGCAGTGAAGACCCAGCGTAGCCATAAATAAATGAATAAGCCTTTAAAAAAAAAATCTATCATTTCAGACTGTACGGAGGCACCTTTATGCTGTATTCTTTTTATGAATTTTCAGTGTCTGTTATTTTATAAAACTCAAGTGATACCTATTAAAATAACATTTATAGCATCTGCTCCTTCCCATTTTTTTTTTAAACCTGACTATAGAGAACTTAAAAAAAAAGATTTTATTATTTCTAGGTGCAGTAAGTATTAAATGTTAGAAATACTGCTTTGTCAGCTGTTACTGAGGCAAGAGAAGTAAATGAAACGATTTTTGGAAATCCCGTTTGTTCCTTAAGCACTCTTGCATGTGTGAGCACGTATTCACAGGCCACAGAAGTTCTATGGAAGTCGTAGACGTGCTAACAGCAGCAGAGCAGTGCCCCTTCTCGTAATTCTGTCCTTTGCATGAGCATGTCGGGTAATTATTGATTTTGAGTGTTATATGCACTGAAGTAATGGTGTTATTTTTTCTGCTTCAGTACTATGCATGAATAAAATATATTGGAAAGACAAAAACCTTCATAACTCCCAGTAACCGAATTATGGATTTGACAGGATAGTATAGAAGTACCACATGCTCTCAGAGAAACCTTTTGAAGTGATAACAACCTGAGATGGTTAACAGAGAAAGATATTTTGATGAGAGGAAAACTTTTTTTTTTAATTTAGGTTTAAGGAGCATACAGTTGCAAAATGCTTAGTGTGGTTTTTGACTTATGCGTTAGTGTTTTACTTTTGCTTTTGGTAATTTTTTCCTTTGAACTGTATTTCACTCTGATAATCCAACAACAAACTTCCTATGTAATGTGTATTTGATGCATTTGTTTTTACATGTTAATTCGTGGGGAGCAAGTAGTTACTTTTGTTTAGAAAACCAAGTGATATTATGACATTTAAAAAGTATTTTGTGAGCCCTGACCAATATCTGTAACTTGAATAGTCTCTCAGAATTCTCCTGTCAAATTTATAGCTATACTGAATTTTTCAAGCTGGCAAGATAATTTTAAAAGTGGTATTACATACCACTACGTGAATAACCATAATTTTTCTCAGGTCTAGACAGGCCTTTTTTAAACAGCATTTCATTTTCAAGTACACACCCAGCTATGATCAAAGGTAAATGCCATGAGACTTCAAGATCTGTGAATCTGTTGATCTTTATTTGCCCCTTGCTCTATAGGAGTTCTTTGTGTTTAAATTTTAACTAGTTTTAACTACTGAAACTAGAGCAGTTTCAATAAACGTAAGTTAGCAATAAAGGTATAGTTACATCAGGTAATCCTGATGTAAATGTGTATTAATTTTATGTTCTTGTATGCAGTGGCTACTATAAAGATTTGAAGATTATTTTAGGCACTGGTTTACATGGTGATTTCTTTAAAAATCCCTTGAATAAAGTTACCTCATATTAACTCTTTACAGATTCAAAAACTAACTTTGTCTGAAGATTGCAATGTACTCTTCTTTCTTTTCTTCTTGAAGAGTTGGGAAATACCTATAAAATGTTTTATGTTGCAAGGATTTGCTGCCTAACACCGTTCCTTCCTCAGGCTAGCCTTTCAACAAATGTCTACAGCCTTGTTTTTTAGGTTCGATAACACCAAGATGTAGAGTAAGTCCAAGTATATATGTGTCTAGATGTTCCTAACTGCCATCTAGTTTCTCAGTAGTACCTTTACATTTTGAATATTCCTAACTTTGTGTACATCATCTCTGTGAAGGCAAGGTGGCTTTTCTTGCATTTATTCGCTTTTATTCTCTTTCAACAGGGGGAAATGCAGTGTTGCCCTTCTGAATGAGACAGAGTCAGTATTGTCATATCTTGATAAAGAGGTAATTCACAATTATAATTGTTTGTGTTTTTCCCTCTTTATTTCATACAAAGCCTGTACTTTTGTATTATTTCTTCTTCTAACAAATTATTGCATAATGATAGCAATATTATGGTAAAAGTATAATGATTAGAATGTATTCAGGTAATTTCATTTTTCTGGTTAACTGAGATAAAAGTTGGCAAAAACTCCTATGTCTGTCTGTCTTTGCTTCATAATGAAAAGTTGCTAAAGTATAGCACATGATTGAATTGGTAGTGAGAGAACTTTTTTGGGAGGAAGAACTAATTTGGGCTTTATGAAATAAATAACTTAAAAATACTTGGTCCTCTTCCTTTTTTTTTGTTTTTTTTTGAAGTAAATAGCTTTTCTTTTAGGCTCTTTGCAGATAAAATTTTACCATTGGTGGTCTGCTTTCTTTACTGGAATCCTAATAAATTTTGTCACCTAAGAATAATTTTTTCTGTAACCTTCAAGAGACGTCATAAACATTTTTATGAAATTGAATTAGAGCATGGACGTCATTGAAGGGAGGAAATTCTCGTAAGCAGTCTATTTTACATTTTGCAGTTTTATGTGACTTTTATCAATTTTATTGTGGGGAAAATACTATTAATGGTTCAATGTTTAATCTTTATAATTTCACAGTGTTTATTTTCTCAGAATCTTTATTACATATATATTTTAAAAAGCAAAATTAAAGGGAGACATATTTTTTTTTTAAAAAATAGTTTTCTATTCTCAAAAGTGTTGCTCCCTATCTCAAATGAAGTAAACATTACAGAAAAAGATTGATGCAAACATGTATAACTACTATGCACCAGAAACCTAATGAAATTAGAAGAAAAGTAAGTATTCAAGGCAGAAAAAAAGGCTAATAGTCTTGTGAAATTTGGAAAAGAGGTGGGGTTTATTGTCATTCTGTTGAACAGAATGATGGATAATATGGATTGATGATGCTCAGAAATTATCTTTCATTCACAGAAGCAGAAATAAAAAGAAGAAATAGTGAATATATTTTAGTATATTATATTGTGTTTGGCTGTTCCTAGAGTGGGTTTCATTTTTTTTTGCTGCGTTGTGTTTGTGTGGCTTGCAGAATCTTAGTTACCTGACTGGGGATTGAACCCAGGCCACTGAGTGAAAGCGCAGAGACCTCACCACTGGACCACTTGGAAATTCTCTGATTTTTTTAAAGATGATATTTGTTACCTTCTAATTTGTTAACAATTTGTATCTGCTAAGGATTGCAATAGATGAAAATTTGCGAAGTCTTTATGATTTTTTTTCCTATCCTCTTGCTTTATAATCTCAGTCCTTTATCAATCTACTGTTCTTTAATAGGCCCTTTCAGGGTTTAATACGGAGAATCATGCAGTAGATGACCCTCACATCCATGGGACAGGGAGGTGAGGGGAACAAAAGGCAAGACTTTGCTGGTTCAGATGATTTCTAGTGGTTATGCAGAATTCAGCTCAAGACTGTTGGCTATAGGTCATTTTATCCTTTAGGTCCAGTAAGTAGGTTGTTTGCTCTTTTAAGTGACCATGGAAAGTTAGGTGGGTATGCTGGTGATGATAGAATGTATAGTTATGTTTGTATGCTTACCCATATATACATATGTTTTAGAATTTAAAGGACAACCTCAGAATTATAATTAATGGACAATTGTACTTAAATAGATAATTGTAATTAAGTGTATACAGTGTGACATATTAGTAAACTGCATATAAACTAAGTTCTATAGTTTTAATGTGAAATGTGTCTGCATTTTAGTATTTTTGATGAAATGTGGGATGGGCACTCTCAAAGTAAGAGTGTCACGCGTCTATGAAGGCACTCTTACTGTTTGGTGTGGGCTTTACAGCTTTAAAATGATTACTGGATTTCAGTGGTCTTTATTTGACTTTAGCTTAACTTTTAGAGCAATTAATGGTTTTCTGTTAGACTAACTAAACAAATAATACTAACACTTTGTTATCCACCTTGATTGTAAGCTATTTGTTTTCATTTAATTTTATATTGTTTACCTGATGATAGTAACATTATGCTTTCCTTAAAGATTTATTGAATTTATTCACCAAAATGAAATTTTATGCTCTGTGGAGCTTTATCGTTTCATTATTATGACACTGGATTTATTGCTTTATAAAAAGTAGAAGGAATTAGGTTTATGTTGATATTTGTGTCTTCTGTCATCTTTTTTTCCAGGATACCTTTTTCTACTCATTGGTCTATGATCCCTCAGTGAAAACACTATTAGCTGACAAAGGTGAAATCAGAGTGGGACCTAGATATCAAGCAGACATTCCAGAAATGCTCTTAGAAGGTATGTTTTTCTTTTGAGTTTCAAATCCCGTGAAAACAAATTTCCTTGAAACTCGAGTATTTTCATCAGATGGAAAAAAACAACTTTCAGGCTAAAGTTTAAAAGTAATGACCTCTTCTGATTTTAGAAATACAACAAACAGCAATGAAAAATAATTTATTTGATCAATTATTCATTTTTCATTTCACATTTTCATGAGTTTTCTACCTGTGTTTTTCTTTCAAATACAATTTTAAGAGCGTTAATGTTGAACTTGTATTTTAATGTGACAGACTCACGCTTTGAGATTTGATGTGCCTTCACGTCATCTGTCTGAGGTATCCATGGAATCTAGTGAACACTTACATTCTGGTGGGGATTTTGGCTGAACTGGGAAGTTTGTAGACCAGAGAGATTTAAAACTTTACATTTTAAAAACATATCTTCTTAGCAAGACTTAATTTTTTTTTTTTCTGTCATAACTGTATACTTAAAACCTTTATTTTTTGATTTGAAAAGTAGAACATTCTTAACATTAAAAAAATGAAATACAAAATAAAGTGTAATATAGAAAATGAACACCACACCCTTTTCTTCATTCCAAACCCATATTTCAGTTCAGTTCAGTCACTCAGTCGTGTCTGACTCTGCGACCCCATGGACTGCACAGGCTTCCCTGTCCATCACCAACTCTTGGAGCTTGCTCAAACTCATGTCCACTGAGTTGGTAATGCCATCCAACCATCTCATCCTCTGTCATCCTCTTCTCCTCCTGCCTTCAGTCTTTCCCAGCATCAGTCTTTTCTAAGGAGTCAGTTCTTTGCATCAGGTGGCCAAAGTATTAGAGCTTCAGCTTCAGCATCAGTCCTTCCAATGAATATTCAAGACTAATTTCCTTTAGGATTGACTGGTTTGGTCTCCTTGCTGTTCAGGAGATTCTCAAGAGTCTTCTCTAACACCACAGTTCAAAAGTGCTCAGCTTTCTTTAAGGTACAACTCTTACATCCAAACATGACTACTGGAAAAACCGTAGCTTTGACTAGATGGACCTTTGTCTACAAAGTAATGTCTCTGCTCTTTAATATGTTGTCTAGGTTGGTCATAACTTTTCTTCCAAGGAGCAAGCGTCTTTTAATTTTATGTCTGCAGGCTGACAAAACATGGTTCCCTGGAGAAGGGAATGGCAGACCACTTGAGTATTCTTGCCTTGAGAACCCCATGAACAGTATGACAAGGCAAAACCCATATTTTATTTTGGTAATGGCTATGACTCATAAGCCATTCAGGAATGGTCTGCGCAGTGGCAAGTTGCAGGTTACTCTGCAACTGCTTCTTTCAGTTAATGGTGTATTTTTTGCATCTTCCCTAATTCTTTTTGTGACTGTAGAGTTCTTAATTCTGCATGGATGTGCCATAATTTATTTCCTTTACTAGTACCCATGTTGATAGACATTTAGGTTATTACATTTAAAAAAAATTCATTTTGGCTGCACTGGGTCTTCATTGCAGTGTGCAGGCTCTTCATTGTGGTATTCAGGCTTTCCTAGTTGGGGAGCGTGGGCTCTCAAGTGTGAGGGCTTAGTTGCAGTATGTGGTGTCTTAGTTCCTTGACCAGGTATTAAACTCTGGGCCCCCTGCATTGGGAACACAGAGTCTTATCCACTGGAGCACCAGGGAAGTCCTTACATATTTTGAGCAAATGATACTGCTAGAAAATCTTCACACATACTTACGCTGTGTAAACATTTTTCAAGCATAGTTTCCTGGAAGTATTGAAAATGCCACTTTGCCCTTCAAAAAGGCTATATTAATTTTTGTATGAGCAAATCAGATGCATTCACTGATAGATTATTAGCGCCCCCATTTTGTTACACTATTGTGTTAGCTTTTCATTTGTTGTTGCTTTTTTTGTTATTATTTTTAAAAGTTGAAATTATGCTTTCCTTAGTTATTTTTAGCTATTCTGTAAATTTCTTGTGTATTTTCTATTTGGTTATTTATATGTATTGGCAAGAGTATTTTGCATATTAAAGGTAAACAAATGTAGAAGTATTTGTCTGTGAGTATTGCACATGTTACCTCCTCACTTACGAAATGTTAATGATTTTATATTTAAATGTTTTATTTATTTTTGTTATACAGAAATTTAGAATTTTGTCATAGAGAGGTTTAGAAATTATTCCTTAAGGTTTTTATAATTTGCATTGTTTACCGTGCTTTCCTATAGGAAGCGTATGCAGAAAAGTTAAATCAACTCAGGGTAGAGGTTATGAACCATAGTACACACTGTGGTTGGTGGGTTATCATTGTCAGTGGTGGGCACATGGGTGGTTGTGGATAATATTAGGTTGCAGACTTCTGCATTTTTATGAACTCAGTACCAGGAAAGGTCAGTCAGTAATGACTAAGCTTTGAGAATAGATTGCCATGTCTGCACGCAACTGTGTTTAGAAGTTTTGTTTTGTTGTGTGTGTGCTTTTTAAAGAGATTGTAAATAGTGAGCCGGTTTATTATAGGCTGCTGCTGTTTGGCAACCCCTTGGATTATGGCCCACCAGGCTCCTCTGTCCATGGTATTTCCCAGGCAAGATTACTGGAGTGGAGTGCCATTTCCTTCTCCATTATAGGCTGAGAGATTGCATTTATTGGCATTCTGATCTGTACAAATCAACTTGTGTTCCCAAAATAATTTCGGATATTTATATAGTCCTTAATGCTTGATCTTAGACTTTATTGTTTTATTTTTGAGAGCATTTGATTTTTAAATTTTACAAAACTGCACTGAGTATCCTTTAGATAATGGATAATTTTGTACTCTGGATATAACTAGAAAACATGTTCCTTGGAAAGAAATTGCTAAGCTGTGAGGTGGTGTGTCTGAAATTTTATACAGAATGACAGTTGGCTTCCAAGTAATCATTTCCAGATTATTTTTCCCTGTTTCAGTTAAGGTATACTTTCTATATAGTGCATTTCACCCACTTTAGTGTGCAATTCTTTGAGTTTTGGACAAATGTATAGCCCTTTGTGAGATATTCAGCAAGTCGGCTCCACACAGACCGAGAGCCAGGCGTGTCCCTGGTGCGTGCGTCCGCAGCGCCTGGCCCACGTTCTGCATGCCCTCAGCTGCCCTCTGTGAGTGCCCCCTGCACTCGGGTCTCACCCCTTTTCAGAGCTATGTAGACTGTGTTGTTCATGTAATCTTATGTGCTATTTTTATTATTTGACTTTTTTTTTTAATTTAACTGGAGGTTAATTACTTTACAATATTGTGGTGGTTTTGCCATACACTGACATGAATCAGCCATGGGTGTACATGTGTTCCCCATCCTGAACCCCCTCCCACCTCCCTCACCATCCCATCCCTCTGGGCCATCCCAGTGCACCAGCCCTGAGCACCCTCTCTCTTATTTGACTTTTTAAAATGTAGGACTGTCTGAGCTACTGATTGTGTGACTCTTTTTCTCAGTAAAAATTTGAATGTATTTTATGAAGTATAGTTGATTTACAATGTTGTATTTTTAATTTCATCTTAAAATGTGTATATATATATTTATTGAAGTATTTTAATTTTTTATTTTAATCAATCTAAAAAAATTTTGGCCACACTTTGGCTTGTGCCATCTCAGTTCCCTGATCATGGACTGAACCTGGGCCATGACAGTGAAAGCTCCGAATCCTAACCATCTGGGAATGCTCTAATTTATTTTATTTTTTTTAAAGTGTGTGATTCTGTCTTGAGCACCAGCATAAGCCTAAGTGTATAGAAAGCCTAGAAAATTTTGTGTATTGCTCATGTAAAGATAAATGCTGAAGCAAGTAATAAAGTTGAGATATTTCCAGTTATAGTGGGCAGAAAAATCAGCTCACAGAATCTCATGAGTTCCCACCTACCTGAAAAACGTTTAAATATGATATTGCCCCTGAAATGCATAAAGCTGGTTAGAGTTATGTAATTGGAAAGCATATCTACCTGGCTTAAAGTAAAAAAAAATATATTTTAAGGAAATAAAATCATGTATAAAATGCAATAGTTTATTCTACAGTATATTGTAGTGAGGATTTGAAGTTCTTGAGGGTGAGAATCTTGAGGTTCTTCTTTCAGGTAAAAGGAGTGATTCTTAACAGCTTATGGCATTCAGGGAGTTACACTGGTTATCTGTCAAAGGCATTCTATGTATTTAAAATGTGACTAAATGTTCATTAATATAATAAATCTCATAATTCATTAACAAGTATTAGTTGCCTTTAGTGTTTGTCTTGGTAGTGTTCTGGGTGGTTGGTTTACAAATATTTAGTTAATAGACCCCTTTCTCACTATACAAGGTCACCTTCAATAAGAAAGTCAGGTTGTTGTGGGTGAGATGGAAGCGAAGGGCCCACTGAGTCAATTTGAAGGCTGTATGCAGTACTTCACATCTCTTAGAATCCCATTTCTTCACTGCACAGTCAAAACCCCCAGTCTTCACAGTTAGACGTGCTTATCGTGAAGTCTTTTGGAACATAGTATTGGAAGGACCTCCACTGTTTTCCCTTTACTTTTTCTCACTTTTTTAAGTCTTAAAACTTATTTTCTTGCAAGCAATATGAATTATGATAGCAAATGTAATTATACTGGGAACAAAAAGTCTAGTAGTCCCTTAGATCACCCTTTCTAACCCTCTAGTAACCACTGTTAACTAATTTAACACGATCTCACAGACTGTTACATAAATATGTATAGACATCCATGAAATTATGTTCTGTGCAATATTCCATCATGTGATAGATCCACATTTATCTGTTTTGTGTATGTTTAAAGGTTGGGCAAATTTTCCCTCAGTTGTTCTTTAACATTTCTTGGTTGTGTGTGGGGGCTGTGGGCTATCATGTCATAGTTTTTTTCTTACTGTTGAAGTTTATCATCAATTTGTCGATTTCCTCTTTTCCAGATTTCATTAGGATTCTAATTCAAACTGTATTAATATTAACATTACTTTGGAAGATAATTGATTATTTTATAATATTTTGCAGTATATGGTT